AAAAAAAAAAAAAAAACATTTTCACTCCCCCGCCAGTCCGAGCCTGCCGCGAGCCCGCTTGTGGCGCTTGTGGCGCGAGCCCGCCTGTTGCGCTTGTGGCGACAAGTTCTTTTTCTGCCCGGCTGGGCAGGGTACGCGTCGGCCTCGCTTGGAATTCCGTCAGATTATTGCGCCTGCGATTACTCCCGAAGTTCCACGACGAGAATCGTTCCACTTCCTTCCACCACCACCGCGCTGAAGAGGTTGGATCATCCCTAACACAGAAATTTACTTACTGGAAGTGGTGTTGGATCAGACCCTGAGTCTCGTGGTTTGTTGCGTAATGGTGACCTCAAGATCGACATGATGTTCCAGGCTTGGTGCCGAAACACTTCTGCTGGTGGGTTGTTTGAGTGATAGCGTGAGCTGGACGTGGCGTGGCGGCCTTGCGAGGGCGGCGGGGGAAGCCGGAAGGAAGGATGTCTATGTCGACGTCGCCGCCACCTTCGTCCTCTCCTCCGTTGGCGCCCTTCCCGTTAAGCAGCTACACTGCAGCGATGGCGTCGGTGGAGACGACGCAGCAGCCACGTGATGTCCCGGCGCAGACTTACCTCGGGAATTCCGTGATCCCGATAGTCAACAAGTTACAGGATATATTTGCCCAATTAGGCTCGGGAGCGGCGCCAATCGATCTTCCGCAGGTGGCGGTTGTCGGGAGCCAGAGCAGCGGGAAATCCAGCGTGTTGGAGGCACTAGTGGGCAGGGACTTTCTGCCACGTGGGTCGGAGATTTGTACACGGCGGCCTCTGGTCCTCCAGCTTGTACAGTTGCCGAAGCCGAAGCAGACCAAAGAAGATGGGGGCAATGAAGAAGGAGCTGTAGGAGAAGGGGAGAAAGGAGGTGGTGTCCAGAAGCAGCGGGAGCAGCAGGCAGAATGGGGCGAGTTTCTGCACATCCCAGGGAAACGTTTTTACGACTTCTCAGCCATCCGTTCCGAAATTCAGGTATCGTTGACGCGGAGCCTCCATGCGGTTGGTTTGCGTGCTGGCTTGCCTTTTGAATGATCCACAATCGGTGACTTGTCCAGTATCGCGACGCTGCCATCACGATGCTGCCGGGTTTGTCGTTGCGTGCGTGCGTGCGTGTGTGTGTGCGCGCGCGCGCGCGTGAATTTGTGTTTGTGTTTGTGTGTGTGTGTGTGTGTGTGTGTGTGTGTGTGTGTGTGAGAGAGAGAGAGAGAGAGAGAGAGAGAGAGAGAG